GTTCCGCATCTCTAGGCGGTATCAATGGTTCTATATCTCGAGGAAGTACAGGTGGTTCCAAATCTCTAGCAGATTGTTCCATCTGTTGATCGCCACTTCTGAGAGCTATATGTGGCTCGATGTCTCTATCAGTTCCTTCGACATCGTCTATTCTTTGATTATCTACTAAATGATTTTCCTCTGGACTGCGTTCCTCTTCCGCGTTCCTTAGATCGTCGTTTGAATGCTCTGGTGCAATTGGTGGTTCGTCGATAAAGGGTGGTACATTGTTATTATCTTGTATTTCTTGCCGCAAACGGGCTTCATCTTCTCGAATATGCTGTAAGCGTAACCCCAGATGACGTGGTGGAACTACAACAGGAGGCAGTTCTATTATTTCGTCCCTCTGGAACCAATCAGGTCCACCAGCATGTAAAATTTGTTCCCGCAACCATACTAGACCGATAAATGCAAACAAAGTGCAAGTTACAACGAAGCATCCTTGAAACACATCCGACGATATATTTTCCGCGGATAACATGTCCATCGGTAATGACATTATCTGTAACAAAGAGTGCACAGTTATTTCCTGGTTTGTCGTAAAAAGATTAAAAATCAAAATGTATTTTTAAAAATAATAACAATGGGGTATTTACTCGAACTACATCAAGTGGTCCACTGAACAATGCTCTGTAAGTTCGGCAAGCAGTCAGTGGAACAACTCCTAGCCATGCTATTGCAACTAGGGTATAATGTAGCCAGTATCTTAATGCTGTTACAATATTGGAAAATAATCCTCCTATAATATCCTTTAGTGGTAAACGACGTGGCATATCTGGGCTATAAATAGGTGTAAAAGAAAAACGATGTCCGCACAGTTCACAAAATTCTTTGCGCGAATACCGCATCCATTGTACTAAACATTCTTGATGTATCCATTTAATACTGCCTGTACAAATACACGGATGGAAGAGAGGCCTATCTGCTAGACCTTCAGATCTACAAACCCTACATATGTCTGCCCCTGACATGTCCTCCGTCATGTTTGGCCTTGTTTGAAATAAGTGATTAAGTCAACAATCAATTTGCTGAAACAAAAATGTCAAAAAATTGCATGGTAAATACACAGATTGTATATATGTTTCTTAAGGAATGAAGGGTAATAATGGAAAAATTACATATAAAAATGATGTTAAAATAAAGCAGCGAATGGTCGGATAATACAGTTGTAGAGTTATTCAACGTGAAACGTTTAAAAAGGAATCATTAAACGATCGAATGAGAAAGAAAAATAAAAGACTGTATTGAAAGTGCAGAATGTGTCATAGAATATTTCCTATTTAATATGTGTTGAAACAACATTTGCTTCATAAAATTCAATCTTCTTCTATAAATTTGATAATACTGTTCACACAGCAACATTATTTACTTACGCATGCCTCGATGAAGGTGCGTAAAATCCAAAATTACTGTGCAAAATATGAAAAATGTCTACTGTTACTTCTAGCTCTTTCTCTCTTACGTTAACATACTTGCAACGTTTGCAACGAAAAAGTTACTGCTCTTCTCGAGAAATGCGTGTTTCACCATTTTCTATCTACTTAAGTGATATGCTCCAATCAACAAAAACTTTATTAAGTAACATATCATTCCCATTAATGCTTACCGAATCGTAAATAACTTTCTTTCAATAGGAATTATTAGGTGGCGAAGTTTCGTACATTGCTTAACATAGCTGAAGTACTCGGGAATGTCAACGGCGACAGCTAGAAGTTAATTTTGTTATGTAAGTTGCATTTAATTTGATATGAAAAATGTAAAAGCAACATGAATTAAACAACATTTGACGATTACAAATTTAAAACGCGCAAATAAGAGAATGCGTATTCGCCACGCTAATCTGACAATATTTCATTGAGAAGATGTATGCTATTTATAACCCTACTAGAATAAGAAACAATTATGTTGTATTATATTCGTTATACTCGTTTTATCATAAATGTATTTAATACTGTAACATTAAGCTTATGCGAACCAAAGCAGTATTGTCAATTTCTCAGAAGACATAATAGTTGCGTTAAGGTCATGAATGTCCTTAATGTTGCGGAGAAAAATGATGCCGCAAAAAATATCGCGAGTTATTTATCACGTGGTACTTCTAAACGGGTAAACGAAAAGTTATTTTTAACGAAAGTAAAGAAAGTTTTGTGTAAACTTTAATTGAATTTACCGTGTGTTTTATAGAGAGAAGGTTTGTCCCCATATAATAAAATTTTTGAATTCAGCTCATATTTGTGGAATCAGAATTGTAATATGATCATGACTTCTGTCTCTGGTCATTTGTTGAGCCATGAATTTGTTGGGATATATCGTACTTGGAGAGGTTGTCATCCGTTAAGTTTATTTGATGCACCCATAGTAAAATCTTGCCAAGAAGAGAATTCTATCAAGATTAAAAATACTTTGGAAAGGGAGGTAAAGAAGTGCAATGCGCTAATTATTTGGACAGATTGTGATCGTGAAGGAGAAAATATAGGTTTTGAGATTATTCAAGTGTGTCAAGCAGTTAAACCCAACATTCCTATATATAGGTAATAAAACAAGATATATCGATATTATTATTATTATAATTACACCTGTACTAATAAATAGTCATCATTCAACAGGGCAAAATTTTCTGAAATCACACAAATATCGGTAAATAGAGCACTCCAGAATCTCTGTGAACCAAACAAAGCAGTCAGTGATGCTGTTGAAGTACGAAGTCAATTAGATTTAAGAATAGGTATTGAATAATGCATGTTTGGTCAACATAATCGATGTTGGAATTTTATAGACTGACACATATCTATCTGATGGAAGTAACCATTTGTAGGTGCTGCATTTACAAGATTTCAAACACTGAGACTTCAAAAAGTATTTCCCAGAACTCTTACTGATATGCTGATTAGTTATGGTAGTTGTCAATTTCCTACATTAGGATTTGTAGTTGAAAGATATTTAGCTGTAGAAAGATTTAAGCGAGAGCCTTATTGGAAAATAAAAGTAACGGATATTCGTGATAATATTTCTGTGAAATTTAGATGGGCAAGAGGAAGATTATTTGAAAAATTGCCCTGCGAGGTTTTTTTTGACATCTGTTTAGAACAGCCTAATGCCACTGTACAAAAAGTGTTAAGTAAGCCTAAGAGTAAGTGGAGGCCGCTGCCATTGGATACAGTTGTAAGTAATAAAGAAGCGGATCGATTGTTGAAAAGCACATAATGTAATTTACCTGTTTATATTAAATAAACATTAGGAATTGGAAAAACAAGGCTCTCGCAAACTTCACTTAAGCGCGAAAGAAACTATGAGAATCGCGGAAAAGTTATATTCCCAGGGTCTTATCAGTTATCCGCGTACAGAAACGAATATATTTCCGAAAGAATTAAACTTGACTCCGTTGGTGAATCAACAAGTGGATAATCCAGCTTGGGGTAATTTTGCACAACAGTTGTTAGAAAAGGGTTTGAACGCTAGGGCAGGGAAGAAAAGTGACGAAGCTCATCCTCCTATACATCCAACAAAATATACCAATAACTTGCAAGGTATATATGCGAATTTTACAATTATTCGGTTTAACGTTAATTATATCAAATCACTTGGCAACAGGTGGTGAAGCTAAAGTTTATGAATTTGTGGTGCGACACTTTTTGGCTTGTTTGTCGAGTGACGCGATAGGCCATGAAACAACGGTAGAGATCGACATAGCTGGAGAAAAATTTATTACCAATGGTTTACAAATTATTGAAAAAAATTATCTGCACGTATACATATATGAGAAATGGAGTGATAAAGAAATTCACGTGTATCAAGAAGGGCAGATTTTCGAACCAACCAGTATAGATATGGTTCAGGAGGAAACGTGCCCGCCAACATTACTAACTGAAGCTGACTTGATTGGTTTGATGGATAAGTACGGTATCGGTACAGATGCTACTCACGCGGAACATATAGACACGATAAAATCGCGTCAGTATGTGGGTTTGACGGATGGAAAATATTTGATACCTGGCAAACTTGGGATCGGATTGGTAATGGGATACGATAATATGGGATTTCAAATGTCGAAACCACACTTAAGGGCTGATTTGGAAAAGGATCTTAAATTGTACGTTGGTTCTGCAGTTTTTCTACCAGCTTAAAAAAGCCTTTGAATCAGAAGTTTAACTTTACATATTTACGTACAGGATATGCGATCTGCAAAAGATTCCAAACGATGTTTTAGAAATTCAGATAAATAAATATCGCGATGTGTTTAAAAAAGCGTTAGAACGTGCTAATTTAATCGACAACGCTTTAGCTGATTACCTCGGTGAGCGACCAAGTGAAACAGAAGAAGTGGAAATTAGTAATCCGCCTGAAGAAATTGTTGTATTTAAGTGTCCAAAATGTGGCTTAGGCATGACTCTTAAAGAGAGAAAGCAAGGCGCGGGAAAGTATATTGGTTGCATGGGATATCCAGCATGTACGAACGCAATTTGGTTCCCTCAAATCATCGAATCTGTGGAAATTTTGGATGAAGTTTGTTCACAAGTAAGCATAATATATTGTAGAATATTAATATTCATT